TATATGCGAGCGCACTTCCTGAAAGCATTACGGCTGCCTCTTGCACGGATTTCTCAGCAATCGTTTCGTCTGTTATCGCCACGCCCGCGGTCGTGTTGATCGGCAGCCAGTGTTTCCTTCTTGCCTGCATCATGTGGTGCGACATCCAATGGTGGGGGTGGCGCCAAGCCGTGGGGGAAGCAATAGACCCAGCAGAGAGGCGCGAACCTTGGCGACACAGCAGATGTGGCCATCACCGTCGTTGGGAAAAAGTGTTCGTCGATGTGTTTGGACGGCACCGGAAATCCATTGCTGCAACGAGTGGGTGGCTGGGGTCAGCAGAAAGGAAGTTTTAGGCAGAAGGTCGGTTCGCAGCTCTTGAAGACAACCCCACCCAGAGGCGCGGCCGCAGGAAAGCCGCCCCTGCGGGGGGCGGACAGGCTCAGCTACTTCCACAGAAGCGCCCTCGCATCGTCGTCCGGGAGCCCGTGCACTGGGAGGCAGTCGGCGGCGCGAGCGTGAGGATCCAAATGTTGAGGGACAGCGCTCTGATCATTCATTGGGCCACTTTTTTAAGGAAGTGTCAGTACGCGGTCTACGACTCCCGACTCAGCGTTGCACACCACACAATCGCGATGCTTGTGGAGGCCCACGACGCCCTCCCGAGGCATTGCAGCGCAGAGTGGGCACGGCACGTGTACCGCGAACTCAACGCAGGGGCCAACGAACTGGCGAACCGACATTGTTTCAAGTACCAGCAGTACTGCTCTGTGGATGGCTTTCGTTATTTCCGTATCTATTTCGATGGCAGCGTTTCTGACGGCGGCGTTGGCGGAGGTTGGGTGCTGTACGGTTCTCGGCACCTCACCACGGACGCCCCGGAGGACTGGAGCAAGATTGCCGATTTGAGTTTCGGGCTACGTGGTGGTGCTGCAGTTGCAGCGACTGAACTGGAGCCCTGTGTGTGGGTCATCGTTTATCTAGGTGATGCGTTGCAGGGCCCTGCCACGGCGAATTTCAATCCTGAGCTCTGGCAGCCTATCGATACCAGTCCTCCCCCCATCCTCTCCCTTGCCGGTATGCTAGACGTGTAGTACCATTTCGGACGACTGTTGTTGTTTTGTCCGATAACTCGTGGTAGGCATAAACGGAGCACGAATGATGTGGCAATCGAGCTGTAGCCAACGTTTGCCCAGATTGTGCCGTCCCTGTGCTTCTGCCCTGCGCGTGCTCAGACATGGGCTGCACCGCGCTTAAAGTTAAAAGTTAAAGTCCCTGTTGGGCCACGCAACGTGCGAGGGGTGTGCCACAACCGGTGCGGCGGCCGCATGCGTGCGCTGGCACTTGGACCCTCGGTGGAGCTCCCTATGGGGCCCCGCAGCGTGTGAGGGGTGTGCCAAAATGGGTGCGCCGGCCGCATGCGCGCGCTGGATTCTGGGCCTCTGGTGGAGCTCCCCATGGGGCCACGAAGCGCGCGAGGGGTGTGCCACAATGGGTACTGCGGCCGCATGTGAGCGCCGGCATTTGGGCCTTCAGTGGAGCTCCCCATGGGGCCACGAAGCGTGTGAGGGGTCTGCGAAAATGAGTGCGGCGGGCGCATGCGCGCGCTGGCATCTGGGTCTTCGGTGGTAGCTCCTATGGGGCCACGAAGCGTGTGAGGGGTGTGCCAATTTGGATGCGGCGGCCGCATGCGCGCGCTGGCATCTGAGCCTTCAGTGGAGCCCCCCATGGGGCCACGAAACGTATGAGGGGTGTGCCGACATGGGTGCGGCGGCCGCATGCGCGCGCTGACATCTGGGCTTTGATGGGAGCTCCCCATAGTGCCACGAAACGTATGAGGGGTGTGCCATAGTGAGGAGGGTGACGGGAGGAGGGGGGAGGGGGAGGAGGAGGTGAGAAGGGGGGGGGGGAGGAGGAGGAGGAGGAGGAGGAGGAGGAGGAGGAGGAGGAGGAGGAGGAGGGAGAGGAGGAGGTAGGAGGAGGAGGAGGAGGAAGAGGAGGAGGAAGAGGGAGGAGGAGGAGGAGGGGGAAGAGGAGGAAGAGGAGGAGGAAGAGGAGGAGGAAGAGGAGGAGGAAGAGGAGGAGAAGAAGGAGACGCGGGGATCTCTCTTCAAAACAAAGACCCAGCACTACAAGATGACTGGGACAACGGATTTCCATTAAATCCCTGTTTTCAGGCGGACTCCATTTGACATTTCGAACCCAGACGCCAAGAGCCCCTGAGAACCCCCCGAGGCGCGCACAAGAGCACAAGAAGTCCCATGCCAGGAGACCCCCATCAAAAACCGAAGAGATCCACGGCGTAGGTGCTTTAACCCAGCACCGATGGGGACGCGATCCCGATGCACCTTGGGAGGGCGACCGACGAACAACCCAGCCCGAGGCGAACCCCCCCCCAAGCTCCGTCCAGGCTTTGTTTTGGTTTCGGGAGCCGGGGAAACAGAGCATATCGAATCGTTCCAAATATGATATATTGTTTTGTGGGCGGGTAGGGTTTGGGACAGCGAAACAATACATGCACGCATTGGATCCACCAAGCCGTCCACGACCGCTTGCGGACAATGAGGCGGGAAGTTAAGGATAATTCAACAGACCGAAAGCACACCTCAGGATCACCCATTGCTCGACAAGTTTCGCTTTCAACACTATCAGGACGATCCACGGCGTAGATGCTTTACCCCAGCACCGGGGGGGTGACGCGATCCCCAGGGCGACCGACGAGCAGCCCAGCCCGAGTCCGATTTCCCCCCCCCCCTCGAGGTCGCAGGTGAAGCGCCGGGACCTTGCGTGATTGCTCGATTAGTTCCGTTTTCGCACATTCTCGAAACCAGTGTTGTTTATCGACATATACGATCAAGCCACGGCCGCCGAGTCCAATCGCTAAAGATTTGAATGTCTGCGATGCGACAGGCGGGCTGGACGGCGGAGCTTAGTTAGTGTTGAAAGGAACTGTTTTTTTCAACCTGTCGAGGAAGGATCAGCGCACACATGTTGCAATACAACTTCCTCTTTCCATCCTCCTTGGGTTTGCATGCGAAAGAGTGTGTGCTAATGCAGCCGTCTCGGAAAAAATGTGTGACGAATTTGTGCCACAGGTCGGAGCTCACAGGGAGCTTTTGGCCCCGTAGTCGAACAGGAACAGTTTGACGTGTTAGCGCCTGCTTGAGAATGCAAGCGTAGCCAATCAACAATGCACTCAGGCGAAAGATTGCCAACCTTTGAGAATAGAATCCGACACCATTGTCTTTTGCTGGGCGGGTCCTTATTCTTCCGAATGTCCAAACGCAGCATGCTACGCATTCGGTTTGGAGCGCTACCCCAAGAAGGCCACTCGATCGATGGACGAGACCTAACGCCAGACCTTTGCGAAGATTAGGGTGGGTGGTGCAGGTAAACGAGCCAACTTTGGGAGGTCGGCAGCTTGTCTGCTAAACCGTCCATACACTTCAGAACCAAGGCAACAGAGAGCGCCCAAGCCATTGCTCAGTACTTTTGTTTTTTTGTTATGTTCAAGTAGTTGCAGCCAGCAATTAGCCCCATATGTTAGCATGTACTTTAGATAGGCAACACAAAGGTTACATCGCAAAAAAGCGGTAACCTTTGTGCAACGTTCAAAAAGGCGCGATGATGTCCATACAGTGCAAGGGCATAGGGATTTGCGTAGTACTCGGCATTCGTTGGATGTTGCGATGTGGGGTGCGAATTCTTATTTCTACGAAGACTTGTCTCCACAACGGAACGATGCCCTCCAAAGTATAAGATTGTTCCGATGTTCCGCTAATTCCATCAACCGTCCCCTTTCGCTGCTTGTGCCATTGCTAGGCGTGGATGGAACACAGTGCCGGGGAACTGCTTTGAACATCACCAGTCGTTCAAAGCAGTGCCCCGGCACTGCTTTGAACGATGCGGAAATGCGATCAGCAGGAGCCTTCGTCTGTTACTTCTCCTCTTCTCGTCGCTGTATGCTCTTCCTTGTCCTCCCTCCTCCCCCGTTCCCTCTCTAATTAATTACCTCGTTCTCCCAGTCTCACGCGCACTCGTCCTCCCCCCTCTCCTCCTCCTCTTCCTGCTTCTCCTCCTCGTCCTCCTCCTCCTCCGCCTCCTCCCCCTCATTTGTTATATTTCTCCGTCCTTGTCCTCCTGTCCCCGTTCTCCTTCTCCCTCTCCTCCTCCTCCTCCTCCTCGTCGTCGTCGTCCTCCTCCTCTTCCTCCTCCTCCTCCTCCTCCTCCTCCTCCTCTTCCTCCTCCTCCTCCTCCTCCTCCTCCTCCTCCTCCCCTTCTTCCTCCTCCTCCTCCCCCTTTTCCTCTCCCTCCTCCTCCTCCTCCTCCTCCTCCCCCTTCCCCCTCTTCCTCCTCTGCTATCACTCCTCCATAATTCCTGTCCGCTCCTCCCCTTCACTGATCTTCCTCTTCGTCATCATCATCCCTTTCGTCGCACGCCTCTTAATCCTCAATCGGTTCCCAATCTTCTCGACTTTCTTGTCATCCGCGTCCTGGGCTGTTGGAGGGGCCTCAGGAATTCTCAGGGCTCTTGTGTTGCACGCGAAGGCACACCTCCCAGGAACGCATCATCCTCCTCACATTCACCCTCCTCCTCCTCATCCTCCTCCTCCATGCACGTTCGGCTCAAGCCCGCGCCGACGGTAGGTTTCACGGCGGTTGGGCGTGCTCGCGCCCGCCTCCGCGGCCTGCAGTCGGGGCAGAGATGCGTGCAGGGTGGGATGACAAAGCGGAAGAGGAAACACGGGCCGCAGTTGCGGATTCTTCAAAGAGCAGCGGCGGCGGTTGGGGAACAAGTTGGGGTTGGGGCGGCCGCAGTGGCGGATACGGCGGCGGAGGTGACCGCAGTGGCGGCTGGGGCGGCGGAGATTCTCTTGGCGGATGGAGAGGAAAAGCGCAGGATGGCGGCGACGGAAGTGACCGCAGTCGCGGATAGGAGGGCGGCGGATGGGGCGGCAACGGATGCGAGGGTTGGGGAATGGAGGGCGCCCGCTGGTGGGACGACGAGGGTGGCTGGTGGAATGCATGGGAAGGTGGCCGCTCGAGTGCCTCGGCAGGTTCTCCTGCCGCGGAGCCCGCGGCCGCAACAGAGGCGGGCAAAGGAGGCGGTCCCCTGCTTCCCCCAGGGCGCGAAGAACAAGGCGCAGTTGCGCTGTTTCAAATTGTGCGCAATGAGCCGCTGCCAATTTTCAAGTTGGAATTCTTCGAGAACTTCAGGGCGAACTGGAACGGCAATTATAAGCAGCACAACGCGGCCTTGAAGTGGTTCCGAGACGAGTCCGAAGACCGAGAAAACCCTTTCGGCAGCCGCACGCCCGTCTTCGGAGGTACCGCAGTTGCGGAGGAAATTTCGAAGATCCTTAAGTACCGCGCTAAGGGGAAGGCGCAGGACAACAGGGATTGGGACTGGGACCACACTGTCAAAGTGCCGTGGTCTTGGCTGGAGATGGTCGCGCAGATGGATGGACCTACAATGCTGCGCGTCGTGTGCGGCCCTGACAATGACCGCAGTCGCGGGTTGGTCCGATGCGAGTGCCGCCCGTGCCCTAGCAGTCTCGACAACATGAGGCACACGAAAGGGGTGGACAGAGGACAGGCGCAAAGAATCCCTCTGCCCCAGTGGGATTTTGTCCTCATCCGCGACGACGGCTCGGGCATTCGCGTCCACCCATCCTGGTCTAGCCCGAAGTTCAACACGTATGAGGTGGAGCCGCACTCGCATCCCGTGCGGGGCCCGAGTGCAGGTCTCGGCAAGAGCGATGGCCACGGAACGTTCACGTTCTGGAAGATGCTGCACGCCCATCCGAATCCTGGGCGGTTCGACGCGAGCAAGGGGGCGCAGCTGCAACCGCGGTGGTCCGCGCAGCCTTGACACCGCAGTTGCGGGATTGCGCAGCCAAGGAACCGCAGTTGCGGGGACCGATCGCGTGACGCCGCGCTCGTTTGACTCACTATGCGCGCTTTCGGCCGCAGTTGCGGCGCTGCCTTCTAGCGACTTCATACAGCTTGGCCGCAGTTGCGGCGCTCCACGACTGACCGCTGTAATTAGGTGCTTCGGGCGCGCATCACCTCCGTTGAAGCACTCGTGACGTTAATTAGCGCGGCCGCAGTTGCGGAGACAGGTACTTAAACAGATGGATCCGCAGTTGTTCGTCGTCCTCGTCGCCCCTTCCCCGACGTCCTCGTCGCAGTCTCCTCCCTCCGCCTTTCCTCCTCGTCGCAGTTCCTTCCGTTGGCCGTAGCCCGCCTCCGT